CATCCAATCTTATGGAACCCGTGTCTGACTAGCCTGTTCATAAGTAAAATAGTAATAGAGTATAACCAAATTATAACCATTAGGTCCCAGCATGTGCGAGGCTTTGAGTCAGACCCCCTGAACTTACAGAAGGATCTAACTCTCTGCCAGATTCATTTCTCTCTAAACCATCATGTGTGTGGCATTGAGTCAAACCCCCTGAACTTACAGAAGGGTCTGCCCTTTGCCAAATATTACTTCCTCAAAACAAAAGCAGGAAGAGACTAAGCCACCTGAACTTATAGAATGGCTCGGCCCCCTCGTTCAGAAACAAAGAAACTTAATAAAACCCAAAAAACAAGGCAACTTAGGGTACCTAAACTTATAGAGCGCCTTGAGTTCAATTAGCGGCTGCAGTAAGTACCCCCCAGTCAGTCCCCAACAACAGCCTGTAGTAAGTACCGCAGCGGCTGCAGCAGGAACACAACTAAGGTAGTTTTCGCTGCACTTAGTAACCAGCGGCACCGCGGGCTGCAGCCAAGGACATATAGCGGAGGGCGACCCCCTTGGACACACAATGTTTACAGTGACTAGGCGCAGGCTCAACACCCGTGCATACTACCACACAACGCCCTCTCAGCCTGAGCGCACGAGTCTTTAACCAATCTGCACCTTCGGTGATAGCTTGCCGTTGCCCCCTTTGTGCAGCCACTTCATTCTGCCGTGTGAGTTCTGCACTGGCCAGCAGATAAGTCTGCGCTCCACTGTTGACCTCTTACTTGCCCGGGTTCACGAGAGCAAGCGGCCCGTAAGTTTAACAAGTGGGACTCACGGCTCCACAACTGAGTCTATCCCGCTGGGCACCCCATGACCGACTGAGCATCGTCTAGTGGAGAGATCACTGACTCTGCTTACCAGTTCCGAGCGCCCCCTCCTTCCTCTAGTGCACTCCCGACTCCCTCGCTCAAGCAACAGGATAGCGGCGTGACCCTATCGGCCATACAGTAGGCTGACCACACGTGCAGTCCTCGCTAACCCTCTTCGAACTCCCAGCACACCAGTCTCTGGCCCCGCGACCGTTCTTACGCAACTTCCCTCAATGGGACGAGCATCGCCCCGGCCAGAGGTAAGTCTCCTGTGTCACGGCCGGCCCCGACACTATCTCTACGGGAGCGGGGAACAAACTTCGAACGAATCTCCCACTAGGAGAAGGTCGGATACATCCGCCAAGTAAGTCCTTTCTCGACACCCTCCTTCTTCCATCCCTCCGATCATCGCCCGCTGGTCTGCTTCTCCCCCCGCTGCCACACACTCTCCCGCTCTTCTCCAGTCATACGATACGAGGCTGAATCTCTCGCTGAGGTTCATCCACTAATCTAAAGCCATCTGCCTGCGTGATACTTATCTCATCAACCTCCCCCTATACTACTCCTTTCCCTAATCTAACGCTTCCAATGGGTTCGCCTCATGCCAAAACCCACGTCTGCTATCTTGTCCCGACTGATTTCGTCGAGAGTTCACTAATACCTCCGACTTTTCCCTCTTCCCCATCCTCCTCCCGCCATATCTCCGCGCGGGACTTTCCTTCACTAACTCCTAACTTACTAACCCTCCTACCGATCTGACTTCATATTCGAAGTCGCCCTCTCTTAAAACCCCCAGCTAGCATCTACCCCTGCCCGATTACACTAAGAAATAGGCAGTTACGCTAATTTTTACCCTGCCATGGCCAGCTTCTGCCATCTCTCTTGCTGCACGTACCTGGCGCAGAATCGCGCCAGGTTCATCCCCCCGTTTTCCCCTTGTCTGCGTCTCACCGGCCTTTCGCCCGTCGCCCGTCGCACTACTGCTTTCCACCTCACCTCCACGCCCTATGCACTCTGCTCCTCGACTGCGCCTAACACATATCACCCGCCAGCTTACTCACACTGGCCCGAGGTATCTCCCCGTTCTACCGCCTCGCCCACTGTCCGAACTTCCGCCTACGTTGCCAGGTAAGTGCTTTACCACTCCCTTCCTCCCTTTCTCCACTCGCCCGGCTTTCGGTCGGTTCCCCCGTCACCGCTGCCCTTCTTCCTTACTCCGCATGTACCTGGCCCCTCTTTGCGCCCAGGTACTTTTTCCCCCGTCCCCTCTGTATTATCGTTCCGCCTTGCCCGCACTGCGTTGACCCGCCGAGCTCTCCACTCGCCCCGAGTGCCGATTTTTGCAGCTCATGGTCCAAGGGCAGCCCGCGGGCAAGCCTAGTGCCCACGGCTTCTCTAAGCCGCTGGCCCCCGCCGAGTAACATAAGGCGGAGGCCGCCGATGGTCATAGGGGGAGAGGGCCAGAGGTGGGGCAAGGTGACTGGCCCATCGAAGAAGCTCGGCCCTGATGCTACCGGCTGAACCCTGGCCGATCGAAAGACCTTGGCCCTATACTATTGGCTAGCCCCTGGCCGGTACACCCACCGCTACAACAAATACCGCCCCCGCTGGTGGGTGCAGCTCCCGCACGTTCCCTTGTTGGAGGCCCGAGCACGGATGTGGCCGCTATGGGGTTCCCCGTAATACCAAGACGGGATAACTTCGGCGCGGTCACGAAAACAGTTAGTAGCCGTACTTCAGGCAGTCCGTGAATACAACACACCCCCGCGCGACTTCATCGAACACGAAACATAGGTCATATACATCCGGCATTACCGGCCCTTCTATCTAAAGTACAACTACAAACTCAGATCCTAACTACGCCGCGGTTTTCTCTGCCACGGCGTGGTAGGGGACCTTTGTAAGCACCCCGAGCTCGCGGACCGTCAGGGGAGGCCCGCGCTCAAGGCCCTCGACTACCGTGACGCCCATTTAGTCCAGCGTCGCGTTCGAGTAAACGGCACGCCGGAGCATAACAAAAATCAATACAACAATTATTTGATATAAAATACAAGTAGACGTCGCGCGTCCCGCTGGTCTGTTACGCCGCGCACGCCTAGGCAGCGCACAGTTGCGCCTCACCGTCAATACCCCATGCCGCCACGCGCGCCTCTCACCCTGACAAGAACCTATGCTTCTGCTCACGCGCGCGCCGTCAAGCGGGCGACATCACGCTCGCGCGACTCGCAAAATACCCTTGTAAGGGTATTTGGTATGACAGCGGGACCATCAGACAACCATCCTTCAGGACATCCAGCAAAGTTTGGCCCTGTTGGTTGGGCAAGCGCAGGCTACGTCGCCAATGTCCGGGCCTGTTGCCTGGCCCGTTGCACATCCTCCTCCTTTTGTCCCACCGGTGACTGGGGTATCCCCATATGTAGCCCCATCATCGGTTGCGATCGTTTCCCTGGGCATGCCGCTATCAGGAGGGTTATCAGCAGGGACTAGTTTGCAGGTTCCTGTACAGACAGTGTACACCCAATCTCCGTTGTAGGTTGCGGTCACGATGCAGCCTGCTGTCTCGCAGCCTGTGCAGCCACAGGGCACACAGCCCCAGCAGCTAGCACAACAACCTGTGTCATAGGGTCCACAACCCGGAGTGATGCAGGGACCGGGACAAACACAGTGGGTTCCAAAGACGGCCATTGCTGCTCCGAAACCCTTCACAGGGGACAAGAGAGGCGAAGACCTCGACACATGGTTGAGGGCAGTGCCAATCTATGTTATGTGTAAACTTACGTTGCCGCACGAAGAAGTGCTTGTGGCTGCCTCCTACCTAGAGGGTAGTGCAACAAGATGGTTGAGCGGTTTAGTGCAGCTCCAGGAGTATGGTCATGACTTCCGCGCTTGGGCGGTCACCGGACTTCCTAAAGATGGTGGAGGAAAGGTGGCACGATGTTCAGGAGGCCCAAAGGGTCAGTGACGCGATCCTGACACTGCACACACGACAGTTTAAGTTAGTAAGGGAAGCCACCGGTGCTGTCGAGCGTCTGATCTGTGTCCCAGGGGTGCGCTATGACCCCCAGGTTTTACTTACCTCGTACCTGAGATGCTTCTCTTTGCCTCTCAGGAACCAGTTGGCAAGTCAGGCCAACATCAATATGCACAACTTTCCTTCGTTTAGCAAGATGGCCCTAGACCTTGAGGCGAAGATAGGGCATGGACAGGCACCCACTACGGATGGTAAGAAGAAGACACTGCCTCCCAATTGGAAGGCGAAGGGCCGCTTAATGTTTGTCGATAACGATGGTTCTACTATCAAGCTAGACAACAACTTCCAGGAGGGAGTAGGTTCAAAGGCGGGCAGCGTAGAAGCTTCAAGGGGTGGAGTAGTCGCTGCTGTAACTCAGAAAGGTAAGGCGACCGATAGACGCCGTGGAGGTTCCCGGTCTAGGAGTCAAGTTGACCCCAATGCTCCTCCATGGGAGAAAGCGGGTCTCACAGAGGACGTGTGGAGAGATCATTATTTACGGCAGACATGTATTCGTTGTGGCCAATATAGCCATAACCAGTTCAAGTGCCGCAACAAGAAGGTGACCGATAAGATCCCGCCTACGATGGGGCAGGTGTTGGGATCCTCCCATCCCGTTGGTAGCAAAGTGGCTAGTTCTTCTGGCAGTGCTCCGGGAAACACGTCGGGCCAGTAGGAATAGCAGTTGTTCCTGCTAGGGTCGAGGTGGTGGAGACACCCTCACCATCTCGAGAGATGGCCCAGGCTACTGACTCCAGTGTCGTCCCGCAAACACGTTCAGACCCATCGAGCCTCTGTTCGATGAATGTGTTTGAGTCCTTAGAGGAGCTAGAGGTGGAGTGGTCTAGATCAGACCCGCTAGCTTCTTGGACGGCCCTAGTCAAAACCCCTAAGGGTGAGATGTTCGTCAGCGAGGTTGTCATTGGCGGCCGCAAGGCCGGGGCCTATTATGACACTTGCTCGACTAGGAACTTTATCAGTCGTGCGTGCGTTGAGAGACTGCGCTTACAAGGGCAAGTGCAGCGCCTGAGTCGACCTATGCCAACAAACAGCGCATGGTAGTCAATGACTACCTACAAAATGTGGAGTGTTGTTTCCCGTACGCGGGAGGGGAATTGAGACATCGAGTCTCGTTCCTAGTGAGCGATGAACTCCCTATGGACATGTTGTTAGGTATGTACTACCTCTCTGTGGCACAGCCCCAATTTTATTGGGACCGGAAAGTGGTCAAACACACTTTGCCAAGTGGAGGGACCACCAGATTGCACAAGTTTAAAGCTAGTAGTCTGATCGAGTCTCATGGATGCATGTGTGCGGCCGCGTTCTATAACTATTATAAGCAAAATCAGGAGGAGGGTATGTACTTAGTTTATGTCTCTGCTGCAAGCAAGCCGGTGAAAATGTCGCCGGAGATAGAGGGAGTAGTTGCCAAGTACCCTGATCTATTTGAAGAGCCGGCAGGGGTTGTAGAGAGGGAGGTCGTCCACGCAATAGAGATTTTCCCAGGGTCTAGCATCCCGAAGGGTAAGATCTATCGGATGTCTCCAGGCGAGCTCGATGAGCTTCGCCGACAGCTCAAGGAACTCGTAGAGAAGGGTTGGATCCGGCCGAGTGTCTCTCCTTATGGATCTCCAGTACTATTCGTACCTAAGAAGAAGGAGGGTACACTTAGGATGTGCATTGACTATAGGGGCCTCAATGCCATCACTA